GACTCATACAGCAATCGCTATCACTTGACTTAAAATATTTTTGCCCTTCCTTGCCTTTAAAGGAGTGCCCTTTTCCGTGCTGATGTTGCTACATGCCTTACTTCTTGCCTATCTTAAACTGCGAATTTTGTCTAAGCTCTATACTAAACATTAAATCTGTTACGAAAAAAAGAACTAAACAAAATGAACACAAAACGATCAGCTGGAAAAACCGAATGAAAAAAGAATGTTAACAACAAATACTTTTTTTTACACCCAACCCGGTTCTGCGGAATCAGAATCAACGTTGAGTTAAGCAAGCAAATGAGTCAATTGGAGTAAAGTGCCATGCAGATTTAAATTTTTCCCACTTGTGACGAATGCAGATATCAATTGTTTTTGCATGCTAGTTAAACTTCGTGTCAGTCAGTTGTTGGCTCCCACGCTGGCCAATAGAATCTTCCTGCCTTTTCCTGACAGCCAGCTATAGGCTCTCACTCTGGCCAGTACAAAATGGCCGCAAACTACATGAAAACTGCTGTAGAAGCATGAAAAAATCGACTATTTCCACTATCGATGGGAGTTGGGAAATGCAAAGTCGGTCTTCGCCTTCCTGGTAACTTGAAGCATGTGCATGTAAATTTTGGTGCAAATCCGTCGAAAATTGCGACCGTGCATTCGTTACACACACACACACACACACACACACACACACATCCTGCCTTTTATAGATAGAGATTAAGACATTTTTATGTTTATACATTCTCGGCCCGAACAACTATGCAGACCTTAGATAGCCTTGGAGAGCGCGTTATCTAGCATGATCAACAATCCCAAAAACGCCAAACACACTCAAACCTTCGGTCACGATGACTTATGACTTCGTGCCAGCACAGGTATCAACGGCCCCAAGTGTTCCGTCTCCCCAATTCACAGGAACTTTCCAAAGGAGCCGCACGCTGTGATCGTCCCCTCCAGCAAGATAATGCCAGGAAGTCTCCTAACAAATCAACCGTGATCGGGTCTCATGGTCAGAAAGTGAATGTTCTATATATATATATATATATATATATATATATATATATATATATATTGTTATGTTTATACGTTCTTTTTCTAGATACAAATATTTAAGTAAATGCTCTGTTTATAATAAACAGTATTAACGACATTTACCAGCCTGAATGTCCGAGAAATTTTCATAGAAAAAGAGGACGCATATTTTCTATGAAAATTTCTCGGACATTCAGGCCGGTAAATGTTTAATACTGTTTCCTACAAACAGATCATTTACTTAAATATTTGTATCTAGAAAAAAAGAACGTATAAAAACAATATATATATATATATATATATATATATATATATATATATATATATATAATGATTGTTATTACATTTAAATTCTGAATATCAATCCTGACTGAAAACAAGAAGCCTGGAAGAGAGTTCCACATGCGAGAAGTGCGATAGAAGTAATAGAACTTATGTTTACATCTAGCCATTTTTGGGGATCGTCAGGAAACCGTTGATTCAATGTTTTATGGCCGTAAGCCACGGTCATTTAATATTAGATAACCAATGGAAGAGTAAATCTCTGAATTAAAATCAACATAGTTGAATGTACTGGTTGGGATCTTGACATATCTACGCATAAAAAAAGAGGGACATTTTTTAGAATTATTTTTTTTTATAGATCAACATCCATTAGCTCTTCATCGTCAGTATCGAAAAATATTCAGAATATATATATATATATATATATATATATATATATATATATATATATATGTGTGTGTGTGTGTGTGTGTGTGTGTGTGTGTGTGTGTAGATATGTAGAAAAATAGGAAAGAACACGTTAGGTAAATAACGTAAATGGTTTGAGGATGAAACAGGGCTTGATACTTTAACTCAATTAAATTTTAATAATTATATTGAGGTTTTTGGCTCCCATTTTTGAAGCATGAGAACTCTTATGTAGCGAAGGAATCATATTTTTTAAAATAATTATATTATATATATATATATATATATATATATATATATATGAAGAAAAAATATATATATATATGAAGAAAAATATGTACAGAAATATATATATATATATATGAAGAAAAATATGTACGGAAAAAAACAAACAAAAATCCTTATATACAATTACGTTGTTTTAATGTTAATATGTCAACGTCGGACGTTTCGGTCTAATAAACCATCTTCAGGACATATTCATACATTAAAACAACATCGAAACGTCCGACGTTGACATATTAACATTAAAACAACATAATTGTATATAAGAATTTTTGTTTTTTTCCGTATATATTTTTCTTCATACTGTCGGATTTATATCCATATATTTGCTTACATATATATATATATATATATATATATATGTGTGTGTGTGTGTGTGTGTGTGTGAGTGTGTGTGCGTGTGTGTGTATTTATAATTATAATAATTTTTATTTATTTATTTTTATAATAATTTTTTTAAAATATGATTCCTTCGATACATGTAACGAAGAAATCATTTTTTTTTTAGATAATTATAATTTTTTTAGATAATTATAATTTTCTTAGATAATTATATTTTTTTTTTTAGATAATTATAATTTTTTTTAGATAATTATAATTTTTTTAGATAATTATAATTTTTTTATAATTATAATTTTTTTTAGATAATTATAATTATAATTTAGGCTCTACTATTGTATTGAGCACTGCTTTTTTGTTTTTGTTTTTTTTAATAAAAACGAAAATACTAGAGAACTTCGGATTATTTACCTAACGTGTTCTTTCCTATTTTTTATCTATTTGCACACACACACACACACACACACACACACACACACACACACACACACACACACATATATATATATATATATATATATATATCGTAAGATAAAGAACAAATAGGAATCGTTCATCAATCTGACGTGTTTCAGTTTTATTGAAGCGTCATCAGAAATCGAGTTCGCTTGCAAAAGGAGAAAGACATTCTAGTATTTTTACTTTTGTGTTGTTTTCAATATAGAATAATATATAAGTACAAAATTCCCTGCAAATAATTATACGTGTACAGGTTTAACGTTTTACTATGAAAAGATTGTAATATTATCATTTTACACTAAAATAACACTGGAAAGGATTTATTATAGACTCTAGACCTTGTAACGTTTTGCTATAAAAATATATACAAATGGTTTATTTTATAAATGCATGTTAACATTTAACTAAAATGCATTGCAAATGTTTTACTATAGTAACACCGGATGAACTTTTTGCTATAAAAATGCAAATGCCTTATTGTAAGTTTTTATAGAAGTAATAATTTACTACACAGCAAATGATTATTTGTATTTACACAAACCCCCTGGAGGTCAGGTTGTGACACAAGGTCGGTTTAATGTGGGGAGCCCGGGTGCGTACACCCAGGCTAGGAATTCTATTTTCTAAGCGTAGCTTAGATGTGGTACAAAGTATTGGACACCCAATGAGGATGGAACTCACTACTTAGTCGTAATCGTTATAGCACGACAAGCTTGCTAACCATTACACCACGGCGAGGTGCCCAAACTGATTTTCTAAGCGTAGCTTAGATGTGGCACAAGGCCGAATGTATGGGACGCCTCGTGAGGATCGAACTCACTTTTCAGTCGTAACTGATCTAGCGAGACAAGCTTGCTGACCCTTAGACCACGCCGTGATGCCCCAGCAAATGATTATTTAAGGAATCACGCTTTCCTATAAAAATATGTTGAAATTTCTATGTTATAGAAGAGCAGACTTAGTATTTCACTCTAAAAATATATATATTGCGAATAACAAGTGCAACTTTTACGATAAAAATAAACTTTGCATCAATTTGTTATAGAAAAGTACAACCTTGTGCAAATAAATTGAAACCAAACGAATAAATCCATTATTATTTACTTTTTTCGTGTTTTTCCAATGAAACATGACCCAGTGTACATGTTCGTCCTTCGTATGTTCATTACACGAAGTCTTTCCTTGCAGATTGACCACAGATTCTTCGTTAGATTTAAATCATGAGAGATCCCGAGCCAGTCGATAGTACTTGCTCACTGGTAATGCTTACCAATGTGTGCGTGCAGCGTTACAATTTTCATTAACTTTGTTGGAGTAACATCTATCGTAGACAATGACAGTAGGACAACTAATCGACAGTCGAGATAATTGTGTCTGGGCGTGATAAAAATCTGATGCAATCACGTATGGTGCAAGGTCAAACAAATTTCATCAAATACCCCGAAAATAGATTTATATTACTGCACACCACTGCAAATGACTTGATCTGAGGAAAAAACAGAAATCGATTACACCCCTTCATTTTTACGTATATTTTCTTTTCTTTTTCTTCTGTTTGTCGTATATTCCTTCTTCCTTTCTTTCTTTCTTTCTTTCTTTCTTTCTTTTTTTTTGATGCTTTTCAAAAATTCTTTCTTTTCTTTCTAGATAATTTCTTGGCTTTTGCATTATTTGATTTTCTTTCTTCCTTCCTTTCTTTTTCTTTTTTTCTTTCTTTCTATTGGTGCTTTTGTTCTTTATTCTTGTCTCCTGTTTGCTTTCTTTCTTTCTTTCTTTCTTTCTTTCTTTCTTTCTTTCTTTCTTTCTTCTGGTGTTCTTTTTCTTTCTTCCTTTCTCCTGTTCTCTTTCTTTCTTTCTTTCTTTCTTTCTTTCTTTCTTTCTTTCTTTCCGGTGTTTTATCTTTTATTCTTCCTTTATTCTCATGTTTTTCTTTTTCTTTCTTTCTTTCTTTCTTTCTTTCTTTCTTTCTTTCTTTCTTTTGTTCTCTTTCTTTCTTTCTTTCTTTATAATTTCTTAGATTTTTCTTTACTGGTTTTTCAATGAATTCAATGAAATTCTTTCTTTCTTTCGTTATTTTTTCTTTCTTCCTTTCATTCTTTCTTTCTTTCTTTTTCCTGTTCTCTTTCTTTCTTTCTTTCTTTCTTTCTTTATAATTTCTTTGATTTTTCTTTATTTGTTTTTCAATGAATTCCATGAAATTATTTCTTTCTTTCGTTATTTTTTCTTTCTTCCTTTCATTCTTTCTTTCTTTCTTTTTCCTGTTCTCTTTCTTTCTTTCTTTCTTTCTTTCTTCCTTTCTTTCTTTCTTTATAATTTCTTTGATTTTTCTTTATTTGTTTTTCAATGAATTCAATGAAATTCTTTCTTTCTTTCGTTATTTTTTCTTTCTTCCTTTCATTCTTTCTTTCTTTCTTTTCCTATGTGCAATTTTTTGTTCATCAGTGTTTGTCCCTTTTCTTTTTTTCTTTTTTATTATATTTCCAATCTTTCTTTTCTTTTTCGTATACTTTCTTTCTTCCCTTTTATATATGTTTTTCTTTTTCTTATGTATAATTTCTCTTTTTCCTACATTTTCATTCATTCTTTTCTTTTTCGCATATTGCCTTCCTTTCTTTTTCTTTTTCGTATATTCTCTTTCTCCGTTTATTTCCGTATTTTCTCTCTTTTAT